GCGAGACGTAACAGACCTCCAGAAGCCTGCCCAGGTCCACTTACTCTCAGATTACCAGCCTGCGGCCTCCTGAGGAAAAACCACAGCAACGCCCAGCCAGGCCCAGCCCTGGCCAACCCCACCAGGCCCAAGAATGGAGGAAATGGGCTTCCCAGAATCCTTGGCTGGTGAGCACTTTGCTGAGAGCCGTCAGCGTGACGGCAGCAGTCCCAAACCAGGGTATCACCCTAACTCAGGGGCTGCACACACTGCTTCTCAAACCTGAAGGGTGTATGCTTCACAGTAACCCCACGAGCGACAGGAAGGGCAGATTCTTCTCACTTCACAGATGAGAAAACCAAATCCAAGAAAGAAAGAAAGAAAAAAATCAAAGACTTGTCTAGGTCACTCAGCTAGAAAGTAGATACAACTCTAAAGCTGGCCTCGCCACTGTCCACTCTAGGTGCTGGACAACATTACTCATCGTTATGTTTCATCGGCACTAAACATTTCCTACTAGCCAGGCCCTTTGCTGGGCCAACACAGCCACTTGCCCTGTCTGAACCAAAAAAAAAAAAACATGCCCTTAAGGGAGAAAACAGATGTTGAGACATTATGAATATCCCACTGCTATAATGAAGATAAGACAAATCAGGAATGCTGGCATTCACTTAGACCAAAGATTTTCAAAGCACAGGTCTACACAGTCCCCTGAGGACTCTGATGACCAGCCAAAAATGGGACCACTGCTGTAGACCACCATTACCTCTCCCTCTATTCCAGGTAGGAGAGAAAACAGAAGCCCTGAAAAAGGAGGAGACGAGCCTAAGGGTAGTACGTTAACCACGAGCAGAAGAACCTGAAGTCCCACCACCTCCACCAGTGTTTCTTGACCCTGCTGGAAGTCACCAGGGACAAAGCCGGTGACAAACCACAAAAGCAAGGTCCACAGGGTAGCCAGCTCTTTGACACCCTGCAAGCGTGGCCCGGGTGGAAAAATGCAATTAACAAAGGGGTTCTAAACCACTTCGCAGGACAGAGAACCACCCCAGCCCCATATTCAAGCCTGTTCTCATGTGGCTCCATCCTTTAGTAACCTCACCACCTTACCTTTCCATACCCCTAGGCCTGCAGGCTCAGCCCCAGAGTCTCACAGGTGTAAGGGGAAGGGCAAGGCCTATAGAGGTATTTCTACATGCTCCTGCTTCCAAGAAAGGTGGCTGCCCCTACTCGCCACATACAGATAGAGCATGAGGAAGTCCAAGAAGTCCAAGGGCTCATGTGCCAGGGCAGAGAGAAAGAGCAGGAGCCTGCTTCGCTTCCCATAGGCAATAATATCCCTCCTTAAAGGCCACCAGGACCCAGCAGCAGGAAACAGGAATCCTGGAACCCAGTTTACAGCCCCTAGCACCAGGCTAGGAGCTAAACAAGTGCTTAGTAAGAATCCCTGGCCTGGGACTCATCACTAGTCCTTGGGCTCATAAACTAATGCATGAATAAATGAATGAGCAAAAGAAGACCCAAGGGGCTCAAATAACTTGCCCAGGGTCAGAAGAGCAAGCTGCTTCTGCAGACCACCTCTTACTACCCTAATAAGCATTTTTGTTCACCATACCTCTGCCCTTCAAATGTGGCACCTCAATTCATCTTTAACCTAAATGACATTTCTTTGACTAATTCATGATCGATGTTCATGGTGACACAGAAACATACGACACTCAGACCCAGACCTTGGGAAGTCACAGAGAAAGCACAGTGGTGGGCAGGTGGCAGGCATCAGTGCTGTTCACCAAATGTTCCCAGTCCTCTTTTGCTCCCCACCCTGCAGGGAAGTACGTGGCCATGTGACTGCTTCGACCATTGAAATGCCACTTCCGGGTGGAAGCTTTAAGAGCCAGGGTGAGATTCATCGTGTTCTCTGTCCGTCTGTCCAAGTGACCAGGAACATTTCACTTAATCAGCATGGGTCCCACGGTGAGAACAACATAAAACAGACATGCGATGGATGTGGTATAAGAAATAATCCTTTGTTGCTTTAATTCTCCGAGATTTGAGGATTGTTACCACAGCAAACTCTGATCTATCTAGACAGATACAGGCAATGACTCGCTCCTACTGTGCATGGCAGTGCCGGTCTTCCCATTCCCTGGCCTTAGGGAGACAAAAGCTACATCACCAGTCAACCTGCTATGTGCCCAGATAGTTGAGATGCTTTCAGAAGCAGGGAACATAAGTGCACCTGCACTGAAGAACTTACTAGATCCTCTGTGGGCCAGGCTTGTTCAGTGTATTAATCAACTTTATTCACTTCTGAGAGGAAGGCATCATCTAATTAGGTATGAGGAAACCCGGTTCACATTCAGACCTAAAGCAAGTTACTCTGTGACCTCTCTAGGCCACAGTTTCATCTGTAAAATGGGACGTTAACATTATCTACCATACTGTGTCGTTTCACGGATTAAATGAATGAATACAAGTAAAGCTTCTAGGATAGTATGTGGTGTAAGTCTCAATCATTAAGTCTCAATAAACTTAACTATTACTACACATTTTAAAACCAGCAAAGGTTTCCCAGGACCGGCACAATGGCACTTTACAGGCATTGCCAAACTGAATTCTATCTCAGTTGAAGTTAAACAAGTAACAAATCAAATCCCTGAGCGCACTGTAACCTAGAGTGAGACCTCAGGAAATGTTTCCACACCGCAGAGCTTCCAGAACTCCCTGCTCCCTCCCCTCCTTGGGAATTCACTACCACCAGGACCTGCAGGGCAGGGTCCCCTCCTCTCCCACACAGAACACGTGCTTTGTCCTCCCACTCCCAGTCACCGAAAGGGAGGCGCCCTCACCTGTCCTCAGAGATTTGCACAGCTGCCCAGCTGGTAAAGGGGGGAACTTCCCTGGGCAGCCAGCCCTTCTGCAGCCCCTTTCTTCCTAGAGGCTGCCACAAACCTCCAAATGCACCAGTGGCCTTGAACTCCTGTTTGCCTGAATAATGCTGCTAAGCAGAGATCAAGCTCAGATTAATAAACGCTACAGAGCATCTACTACATGTCCAGCCTGGGTTCTAAGACCACACAGAGCTGACAGCCAGCTGTGAGCCTGGAACAATGCTTGCAACAGCTCCTGGCACCCCACAGACTCTCAACCATGCTTTGTTGAATGAACTGAAGACCATGTTTGGTAGTGCAAACAGTGGAGTTCAGAGATGTGGGGATGCAATAAGAGGGGAGGGGAAATCCGTCTGGTAGCCTGGGCTTCCAAGGCCTGACCCCCAGACATTATGGATCCTCAGGATGGGACAAAGCTTGGAGACAGCTGAGAGAGGAGGTAAAAGGGCAAATGGGGCCATCATGGAGGAATATGCGCTTCATTCTGAGGATGCCAGGGCCCAGGAGGATCCCTGGAAACAAGGGTGCTTTGGCCTTCCACAGGGCTGACTGTAGAGGGGATGTAGGGGTGCTGGGGTGCTCTGATGGCCTAGGCCCCAGGTTTCCCTTCACCAACAGGGAGGGGTGACCTGAGCACTCTGCAGGCACTAACTTCCCCTACTTTGAGGTCAAGGGGAAGGGGGAAGGCTACTTTTGAGGATTCGGCAAGCAGCTCCACCCACTCCTATCAGTCCCAAGGCAACCCCCATCTCAGAAGACAGAAGGAATCCTACGGAGCAGGCCATGGGAGAGAGCACACCTGCAAAGGCTCCAATGCAATGCCCTGAACTCACGGCCCAGGATGACCGGATGCCCCCAGACCCCAGCGCGCTGCTACACAGCGCCGCAGCCAGCCGCCAGAGCAGTACCGGGGCCAACCATTTCCCGACTCCTCACAGCACCGACCCCTTCTAGCCTGAGACCAACTTCTTCGTGCGTCCCGGATTCGTGTCCCAGCAGTCCCGGTACCCAAGTGTTCACACACACACACACACACACACACACACACACACACACACACACACTGGCGGAACCACCACTCCTCCCCGCAGGAGCAGTGGCCCCGGGACAAGCCAACTCCGCAGCCACAGACCCAACTCGACCGAAGCTCCAGTTAGATCAGGAGTCGGGCTTTGCTCCAAAGCACAACCCCAAACGACCAGCACGGAGAAGCTGGATCACCACCTACTCAAACTCCGCCCGCCCCAAACCCGTGCAGGGCAGAGTGGTACACACCGCCGGGGTGGGCGACTTGGAGCACACTCGAGGCGGGGCGGGGAAAGGGACCGCCCTCCCCAGTCCGCGCCACCCTCCACCCCTGGCCCGAGCTCCGGGCAGCCGAGGGTCCGTGACGGAAACGAAAGGAGTGCCCAACCCAAGGCTCGAGGCTGGGGAGAGGGGCAGAGCCCAGAACCGCGGCGGTCCGACCCCTCCCTCCCCGAGTGCTCCCACTCCCGCCCGGTCGCAGCAGGCACCCGTCCGGGGACACGGACAGGGCGAGGGCGGCAGAACCCCGAGCGCCAGCCGGGTCGCCCGCTGTGGCTCTCACTCCGCCCGGCGCCCGAGTTCGGCTCAGCGGGGTCCGGGCCAAGGCCTCCGGCCCCTCACGGGCGATCTGGGCAGACAAAGCCAGCGCCGCCCGCCGGGCCGCCCCCGGGGCAGGGGCGAGGGAACCGGAGGGACCTATCCTGGACATGGGGAGCAGTCCTAGTCCCCAGAGGGCGCTCAGGGGGATCGGCCTCAGACAATGAGGGCGGCAGGGCCCGACGCTCCAGCGGGGACTCCGCGCTCTACTCACCCGGGCGCGGCGGCGGCGGCGGCGGCGGCGGCGGCGGCGGCTACGACGACTGCAGCGGTGCGGCCGGGCTGGGCCAAGGAAGTTAGAGCAAGTTCGGCGGCGCTGGGCGGGAGGGCGCGACTCAGGCCATCCGAGCGCGGGGGCGGGGCGCGGAGGGGCGGGGCCGGGGGCGCGGCGCCCGGCGGCGGCCGAGAAAGGGGCGCCACTTCCCTGCGCCGCCCGGCGCGGCCCCGCCCTCCACGCCCCGCCCCCACCGCTCGCCCCGCCCGGCCTTCCAGCCCGCGCCTGGGCAGAACCCGCGGCGCCCGGTCCCCGGCCCGCCCCTTTGTCCCGCTTTGGGCGGGGCCGCAGGCGGGGGGCGGCCCTGGTCGGCGCTCGCCCCTTGGGTGAGCGGGGCGGGCTGAGGCCGGACCCGCACCCAACGTTTGGGGGCCGGAGCAATACGTGGACGCCACGTCGGCCTTGTCACTGACCCCACCGGAACCCAGCCTGAGAGAAGCGCGAGTTGTGGGTGCCACAACTCGGGGCTGCGGGGGTGACCGGGTAGAGAGGTGAGCGCAGGGTTAGAAAAATGGCTGAATTGAAAGTGCTGGAAGGCATTCCTGCCGGGCCTCGGAGACTGGGGTTGGGGGTGGGCTTCAAGACTGGGGTAGTAAATTAACATTTATTCTTTGTAAACCGGCCGGTAAAGACTGGCTGCTTGTAGCCTTCGTGCTAAAAATACCACGCTCTCTTTCGACTGCCTGCCGAGATTTGTCCCTCACCTTCATCCTGACAAGATGGCTGAGAGGATTCTTGCGGGGGGAGGGGGTACTGAAGGTACAGCCTGTGTTAGAGAGGTATTCACACCGCTGGCTGGGCTCTGATGTTAAAAAGGCTGACCTCTGGGATCTCAATCCACCTATCTGAAAAATGAGGCCCAGGCACGCCTCATTTTTTAATGAGCCTTAAACTCATTCAGATGGAGGAGGGCTAAGCGATTTGTTCTGGGGACAGCAGGAAACTCGGATCTGTTAAAATTGGGTCAAGAGACTAGTTGCACCACATTCTAGTAAAAGCAACCAACAGGTTAAGTCCAATGTAAGGAGGAGCTCTTGAACTGTTCAGTCCATTCCCAGTTTTTTCTTATTAAGGGGGATGCAGTCTGCTTGTGACACCCCAGGCAGCTCAGAGACCTCCTTGCAGAACCTGTCTATCCATTCATCCTCTAACAGGTAGTGGGTGCTTGATTGAGCGCCTGATCTGTGGCCAGGCCCTGTTTTGATGCTGAGGATTCAGCAGTAAACGAGACAGCTGAAGCCTCTTGCTACATAAGGCTGATTTTCGGTGGAGGACACATTATTGCAGGTTGAAATAAATGCTGGGACAAAAACAAAGGACTGGGATAGAGAACAAGAGCTGTTTGTACTTTAGGTGGAGCCAGCAGGGAAAATGTCTTTGAGGAGGTGATGGTGAAATTGAAGTCAAGAAAATGAGGAGATAGCTTTGGGAAAAGCCAAGCAGAGACATTCCAAGTCAAGAACAGTTTGTGCCGAGGCCCTGAGAAAGGTAAGCTGTGAATGTGTGAAGGAGCTGAAAACAAAACCTTGTGGCTAGAGTTCAGCAAGCCTGGGAAAAAGAACAAGCATGAAGTGGGGAAGTGGGCAGGGACCAGGCCATGCAAGACTGTGTTTAGGAATGGAGACTTTTTATTAAACCATCGAGGGTGGGCTTCCCTGGTGGCGCAGTGGTTGAGGGTCCGCCTGCCGATGCAGGGGACGCGGGTTCGTGCCCCAGTCTGGGAGGGTCCCACATGCCGCGGAGCGGATGGGCCCGTGAGCCATGGCCGCTGGGCCTGCGCGTCCGGAGCCTGTGCTCCGCAACGGGAGGGGCCACGGCAGTGAGAGGCCCGTGTACTGCAAAAAAAAAAAAAAAAAAAAGTAAAAAAAACCATTGAGTGGTTTTATGCAGAAGACTGTGTTCTGATTTTCTGCTGTGTGAAAATAAATTGGGTGGGTGGCAGGCACAAATAAAAGCAAGGAGATAATTAGACTGTTATGGCAGCCCCAGCCAAAACTAATGGTGGTTTGGACCAAATTGGTGGCCACACTAAGGTGAGTAGTTGAAAGATGCTGTTTTGGACATGGACACTGATAGGATGGATGTAGGGGCAGGGAATAGAGAAACCAAAGATAACTTTGAAGTTTCTGGCTGGAGTAAGTGGGTGAACAGTGCCTCATTTATTGGGTGGAGTAGCCTGGAGGAAAGGGACTACAGTTCAGGGAGACACATCAAGAATTCTGTTTTAGGGGCTTGCCTGATGGTGCAGTGGTTAAGAATCCGCCAGCCGGTGCAGGGGACAGGGTTTCAATCCCTGGTCCGGGAAGATCCCACATGCCTTGGAGCAACTAAGCCCGTGTGCCACAACTCCTGAGCCTGCACTCTAGAGCCCGTGAGCCACAACTACTGAGCCCGCATGCCACAACTACTGAAGCCCACGCGCCTAGAGCCCATGCTCCACAACAATAGAAGCCACCGCAATGAGAAGCCCACGCACAGCAATGAAGACCCAACGCAGCCAAAAATTAATTAATTAAAAAAAAAAGAATTCTGTTTTAGTCATGTTGAGTTGAGATGCCCGTCAGAGATCCAGTTCAATTGTCCAGTCACTAGGTGCTCAGAGGAGAGGCCTGGGCTGGGGGTGGGGCTTTGGGAGGCATCATTTTAATGATGGTAAACACCTTGGGATCTGAGGGAGTCACCTAGGTTGAGGAGGTAGATGCAGAAGAGGAGAGGGTTCAAGAGGGACCCAGAGGAGTCAGACAGAGGAGCCAGAGCAGGAAAGAAGACTGAAAAAGAGGCTGGGGAGGCGAAAGGAGAACCGGGAGAGTGCTATCTATGTCCCGGAGACTGACAAAGCAGTGTTTCCAGAAAAGAGTGGTCAGCTGTGCTAGGTGCTACTTACAGCTCGGATAAGATGAAGAAAGGGAAAGATCCTTTGACTCTGGCCACATGAATGTCATTGGTGCACATGATAAGGACAGTGTTCCAGGAGTAGTGGGGTGGCAGCCAGACCATGGTAGAGCTATAGTGTTTGGACAGTTTGTCCAACAGGGAACACGGAACAGGGAGAGGTCTAGAAAGGGATGTGGAATCATAGGAGGCTTTGCCAGAGAATGCTAGATGACCCTAATAGCCATTCTCCCCCATTTCCTTTATTATAGACTTTCCAGTTCTAGCTGGCCACATGGCTTGCCTGAATAAAAGCAAGTTTCTAGGACTCCCTCATGGCTGCGTGTGGTCACATGACTCAGTTCCAGCCAACAGGAAGAAAGTGGAGGTGTCCACATGCAACTTTTGAGAAGTAGCTTTAAAGGGAAGTGGTGTGCTTATCTCAGCCATTGCTCTCTCCTGCTCACTGGAATATGTAAATAGAGCTGCAGACAGCCTATTGAACTTTGAAGCCATAGCCATGTGTTGAGGATGTTAGTGCAACAAGTTAGAATAAATCCGGGTCCCTAATGTTTAGGGAGCCACCGTACGTGCTCTGGACTATTACCTCTTGATTTTATATTTGAGAAAAAGAAATTTCTGTCTTGTTTAATCCTCTGTTTTCCAGTGCTCATAGCCATATCTAATTTTTACTTCTGTTAGGATACAAAGGGTTTTGTTAAAATATGGAAGATACTAGAGCAGGTTTGAAGAGTGATAGGAATGATGCAGGAGTGATGATTCTGAAGAAAAGGTGGAAGGAGATGTTATGTGAGCATGAATGGTGAGGACACCTCTGGTAGAGGGATGACTCCACCATTATTAAAAAGGGGGGTGTGGAGACAGAGAAGATGTTTCCAGTGAAAGTTGCAATTGGAAAGATGATCATCCACACCTGATGATTTCTGGTTAACCCTGGATGTGAAGGAGGTCATGAGCCTAGAACAAGGAGGAGAGAGTAAGGCCAGCTTTGTGAATCATGGACCCGATGATGTTGGAGGTCCTGCCAGCCTGAGCAGCCTCAGGGAGACAGCTGCTTTCTGGAACAGTTGGCCACACTGCTGCAGGGCATGAAGAGGGTGAGGGGAGTGCCCACAAAACCAGCAAGGCCTCCACCCCTCCCCCCCCCAGGCCTCACCGACAGTTACTTATGACACTCGCCTGCCATTTCCAGCTGCCCTTTGAGACCCAGCAACTTTACCTGACCCATTTTTACAATAATACGGGGTGGCTTCAGAAAGCATCAGGGACACTCAAAGCAGGGCAGGCCCATTTTCTCTTCCTTTCTTAAAAAGTAAAAAGAATTGCAGTGGTGATCATTTTGAAATGTATAGAAATATCAGACCTCTATGTTATGCACCAGGAACTGCCATAGTGTTGTAGGTCAGTTATATACTTCAAAAAGCAAACAAGCTCATAGAAAAAGAGATCAGATGTGTGGTTACCAGAGGTGGGGGGGGGGTGGGGAGAAGGGGAATTGGATGAAGGTGGTCAAAAGGTACAAAATTACAGTTGTGAAATAAAGAAGTACTAGGGATGTCATGTACAACATGATTAATTAACACTGCTGTATGTTACATATAAAAGTTCAGAAAGTAAATCCTAAGAGTTCTCATCATAAGGAGAAAACTTTTTTTATTTTTCTTTTATTTTGTATCTGTATGAGTTGATGGACGTTCACTAAACTTATTGTAATCATTTCATGATGTATGTAAGTCATATCATTTTGCCATATACCTTGAACTTACACAGTGCTGTATGTCAGTTACATCTCAATAAAACTGGAAGAAAAAAAAAGTACAATGTAACCAAAAGACAAAATAAATTAAAAGAATTGAGATATGGACAGTCCCAACTCATAAAAGGGCTGTATTGTAAACAGTGACTTAGTTTCCGGGCTAGCCCCCAGAACTGTAATTGCCAAGGATATAACTGAATTATTGCACAGACTGCAAGCCTTAGGTATAGATTATGGGAACAAAAAACATTACAAGGAGGGGTAAAAGAAAGAAGCTGAGAGTTTCTTCTCCTCCTGGACCTGGAGTTGGCTATAAATTTTAAATGGAGGAGCTTGGCCTTTATCATCCTCAGACTTCCTCCTTACCCTCCTGTCCCAGTCTGGTCCCTATCCCAGTGCTGCTTTTACTCTCCCTGGGCTCCGCTCTGTAGCGCCTCTGTGTGTGTGTGTGTGTGTGTACAAGCTGGGGGGCAGGGGGGCGATGAGGGGAAGCAGCTTGAATAGAAGAGGAACTTGGTGTCCAAGTGCTCCTAATTCTCAGCCTCTGGATTTTGAGCAAAATACTTTACATCTCTGAGCCCTACTTTTCTTATCTGTAAAGTCAAGATAATAATAAAACTCACCTCACGAGCTTATAGTAAGAATCAGATGAAATAATGTTTATAAAACATGAGCTGGAAGGAACTCTTATTTGTTTTCTGGGAACCACCAGACAACCAAGGATCTTCACTTTAGTCAGGATGTTTTGGTTGGAAGTGAGAAAAACCTATTCAAATTAGCTTAGGCCAAAGGAGGGAAGATTACTGGAAGGATGCTCAGGTCACACATAGAATCAAAAGACGAACTGGAAACCAGATTGACTCTGAACACTAGGGGCTGATCCTGTGGGCTGCCCAGTCCAAGACCCCCTTCCTCTGCCTCTCCTAGTGCTCAGAGTTTGCCCCATGTTGGAGATGTGACTCCGAATAACTACACTGTAGGTTGGTTTGAACAAATCCCAAGGGAGGCCTCTAATTGGCCCAGCTCTAGTCACGTGCCCAGTCTTGGACCAATCACTGTGGCAAGGGAGAGAGGTTTCCGTAACTGAACCAGGTGTAGGTCAATATTCCTATCCCTGTGGTCTGTAGAGCAACACCTATGCCAAAGAGGTGGTGTTGCAGGACCAACATCATAATTCCGGCAAAGTCTTACAGTATATGCCTGGTGTTCCTCAGGCCCTAAGCCATCTCCGAAAGATTTTAGGCAGAGTAGTGACATTATTACATTTGTGCTTTTACAAGATCCCTAAGGCTGCAGTAGGGAGAATGGATTGGAAGGAGCAAGATTAAAAAATAGGAAGGAAACTGTTAACAATGGTTCAGGAAGTCGGTGATGAGATCTAAGAGGTGAGCAGATTCAAAATATATTTAGGAGGTAGAATTGAGGGGTGACTAATAGGATGGTGACTGATAGGATTCTGGCTGCATAGATGGTGATGCCGTTTACTGAGACCAGGAAGCCAAGTGACTCTGTGTGTGTGTGTGTGTGTGTGTGTGTGTGTGTGTGTGTGTTTCGTGAGGGGTGACAACTTGGACCTCTTCCGTTTGAGGTGTCTGGACAGAGAAAAGCGGTCCAGTTTGCTGTTTGATGTTCAGGAGAGACATATAAGCAAAAACTGTACATTTGGGAGTTGTATTAATCAAAACTTGTGTTCAGCTCCTGTAACATCAACCCAAGCACACTGCTTTGACTAAATAGGGTTTGTTGCATTTTGCTGCTATACTCATTGAAAACTCTGACATAACGCACAGTCTGAAGGTAAGTAGAGTAAGGCTGGTCAGCAGTGCCACAGTCATTCAGGTCCCAGGTCCGCTCTGTCAGTCTGCTCTGGCTCTCCTTACTGGGAAGCTTGCATCCTCAGAGCCAGCTGTGGTCATACCATGGCTGCTCCAGCTCCAGCTTCCTACCTTCATTCCATATAGGCAGGAGAAAGAGCAAAAAAGGATGAAAGAGTAGCACCTATGTTAGGACAGCAAAACTTCCCCAGAAATCCCTGCCGACTGCTGCTTATGCCTCATTGGCCAAGTCTGGTCGCGTGGCAATCCAGAGCTCCACAGGAGGCTGGGAAATGTAATTTTTAAAAATTAGGTTATATATGTTATATATATTTTACCACAATAAAAAACAACAACATTTTAATGCTAAAAAAAAAATTACGTTCCGAGCCTGTTTGAAAGAAAGAAGAGGAGAATGATTATTGAGAGAGCTGCACAGAGATGATGATTAAAACCATGAAAGTAGAGGAAATTATCCTGGGACTGGGAGTTGAGAAGGAAAAACGACAGAGGCAGAATCCTGCTGAATGTGGAGACGACTAGGAAGAGAAAAAGGAGAGGGGTTAAGGAGCCTGAGAAAGAGCAGCCAGTGAGATAGAAGCAAAGCCAGAAGGATGGTGTGTGTGCAAGTCAAGGGAAATGAATGTTTCAGGAAGGAAGGAGTGGCCCCCAGTTTCCAGTGCTGCAAGGAAGGCTGCGAGACAAGGCTGAGGAGTGACCACAGGTGTCGGGAGCTTCAGAGCGCTGGGCCAGTGGATAGTTGGGTCACAAGCTTGTTAAGTGGGGATCAGAGTGAGGTCTTTAGCTGGGGGATGATGAGGGTAAGAGGCTGAGGGA